GAGATAGTAGACCTTTGTCTGAGGAAGAGCAGGTGAAGATTTTTTTCCCACATTGTGTGTTGTCTCTTCACACTGCTGGTGGTTTCCCTTGCTGTGCAGAACCTTTTTAATAAGAAGAGATCAGACTTGTTGATTGTTTGTGCTAGTTCACGGGCAACTGAGGTTTTGTATGAACTTAATTCTTTCTACAATTCTGGTTGCAAACAATCAAATTCAATGGGTAGGTTTAATGTTGACCTTATGGGGAAATTTGATTCATTTCTTTTCCAATTCAGTTTGCGACCAGAAATGTGGAAAGAGGGACAGGATTTAGCTCAGTGGCACTGCACCTGCCTCCCAAGTGCAAGGTCCTGAGTTCAATCCCTAGTACCGAAAAAAAAAAGAAAAGAAATGTGGAAAGAATCAAGTTGATGAACTGATTCACTGTATTGGGGACTGAACCCAGAGCCTTGCCCAGAGCCACATCCCCAGCCATTTAAAAAAAATTTGAGTCAAGATGTTGCTAAATTGTCCAGGCTGACCTTGAATTTGTGATCCTCTTGCCCCAGCCTCCCAAGTAGCTGGGATTACAGACCTGTGCCACCATGCCAGGATTCATTTTTGTTTCAATTAGAAATTATTTCACTATTAAAGAAATTTGTTTTGTTTTTTTGAGACAGGGTCTTGCCATGTAATTCAGGCTGTTCTTAAACTGTGTAGTCCAGGCTGGCCTTGAACTCATGGTGATCCTCCTGCCTTAGTCTCCAGAGTGGAGTATAGGTGTGTGCCACCACATCCATCTTAATCATGAAACATAATGGAAAAGATGAGGATTTAAGAATGAAATGAAGGCTGGGTGTGGTGGCACATAACTGTGGGAGGCTGAGGCAGGAGGATTGCTGTGGGTTTGAGGCCAGCCTGGGCTACATAGTGAGACTTTGTCTCAAAAAAAAGGAAAGAGGGAGAGAGAGAAAGGAGTATGACTTTTATTTTAGAATTGAACTATTAAGTTTAAACCTGGATTATAGTTTAATTATTCTTAAGGCTTCAGAAAGTAATTTTTCTAACCTTAAAAAAAAGAAATTAGTATGTTATAATATGTATAAATCCTTAAGTGTTTTTCCTTTACCAACTCCATCGAAATCTTAGTTGCCAGTCCAAAGCTAATTTCCCAAAGATTCACAGTGTCACAGGCTCATTCCTGCCTCAGTTCTTCACAGGCTAGTTACAACTGACCTCTCCCCATGCCATAGAACTTGGTCTGCTTTTCCTGTTTTACCTTCCCAGCTCGCTGGCTTTCTTCCTTTCTGGTGACATTCATGCAAAAAGGCAGTCACTTAGTATCCTGGGGGAACAAATGTTCTGGGCAAAAGAATCTGGCAAGGCAGTGTCTTCAGCTTAAAAAACTTTTATAATTTTCAAGAATTCTTGAAGTAGGGCCAGGGATTTAGCTCAGTGGCACCATGCCTGCCTTGCAAGTGCAAGGTCCTGAGTTTGATCACCAGTACTGAAAAAAAAAAATTCTTGAAGATTTTCAGAATTTCTTGCCATTACTTTGACATTGCTTTGAATGTGGGGTTTTATTTTTACCAGTTTTTTCTTTTTTGGGGGGGGTGGCACCAGGGCCTTGTACATGCTAGACAAGTGCTGTACCACTGAGCCACATACATCCCCAGCCCTTTAAATACTGTTTTTAAGGTAGTTTCATCTTATTTCATACTACTTGAATAAGTAGTTTCTTCACCTACTATTTAAACATCTCTGTATCATACTGACATACCTGCTCAGTGGAGAAAATTTCATGAAGGCATAAAGCTGCTGGGGTGCTCAGAAACTTCTAAAATGGGAAACTCAGATGTCTGCGCAAAATTGCCATCATATGTAAGTTTGGAAAATGTAGCCACAATGTTAGACAGATGTAGCTGAAGGAGAAAATATAGTGTGTTAAAAGAATCACTATTAAGAATCCCATAGTTGTGTTGGCAGTTTTATTTCTGAAGCAGAGGTTTTTCTGAGACAGGGTCTCACTATGTAGCCCAGGCTGGTTTTGAACTCATGGTGCTCCTCCTGCCTTAGCTCTCAAAAGATGGGATTACAGCTGTGTGCCACCACACCCAGCCCTCTAAAGCAGTATTTATTCTTTTTTTTTGGTACTGGGGATCGAACTCGGGACCTTGCGCTTTCGAGGCAGGTGGCAGAACCATTGAGCTAAATCCCCGGCCCTACATTATTCTTTATAATTTCATGTATGTCATAAATATGGCATTTAAAAACTTTTAAAAATAGATATATAGAATATTGATGAAGGAAATGTTTTCACGCTGACATTTGTCCCTTTAGCCAATACTTGTTGAAAGGCTGCTTAGTCTAGTACAGACAACCTGTGGAGGAACTGAGTGCCTTTTCCCCACCAACAGACCTCCTTTTAAAAAGGACTTGCCAGACACAATGGTACACACCTATAATCTGGTACTCTGGAGGCTGTTATGACATATCTAGATGTCCTCCCTAAAGCCTCATATGATCATAGGTAGGGCTTCTGGGAGATGACTGGATTATGGGGGTGTGATACTCATCAATGGTGGTAAACCTACAGCATGCGTGCTACAGCAGGCTGTGTGTAAACCTGAAAGCTCTAAAAGGTTCACCATCACTGAGTTATAGGGATTTTTTTTGAGACATGGTTTTACCATGTAATTCAGGCTGGCCTTGAAGTAACTATGTAGCCCAGGCTGGCCTTTATCTTGTTGTGGTCCTCCTGCCTCAGCCTTCCAAGTGCTAGGATTACAGATGGGCGCCACCAGGCCCAGCTACTGATGAGTTTATAGATAAATGTAATGGGAGATGAAGCTTGGTTGGAGGAGGTAGGTCACTGAGGGTGTGGCCTGGAAGGGTACAGCTCTATCTGCTTCTTGCCATGGTGCCATGAGCTGTCTCTGCCCTGCCAGGTCCCTCGGCCATGCTTGGAGCCAGCCGAACAGGGACTGAAACCTCTACACACCATGAGTTAAAATAAACCTTTCCTCCTCAGAGTTGTGAGCATTAGGTATTGTGTCTCAGCAACGAGAACGTAACTAAGATAGAGGCTGAGGCAGAAAGATTGCAAGTTCAAGTCCAGCCTGGGCAATTTAGTGACTTACTGAGCCCCTATCTCAAACAATAAAAAAGGGGTGGGGATGGAGCTCAGTGCAAAGGCCCTGGGTTTAATTCCCAGTCCCACAAAATAAAACAACCCAACAAGGAGCAAATGCTGAATGGCTGTTTTTTGCCATTCTTATATATGTTTTAAAAAAATAGAGCTAATGATACTCGTCCTGGCAGCTCTGATCTCACTTGTAGAACAGTGTCGTCTAGGAACTTACTTTATGACTCTCATATACTAATTTATCAATTGGTGCCCAAGCCAGGTGTGGTGGCACATACCTGCAATCTCAGCACTCGGGAGGCTGAGGCAGGAGGACTGCTGTGAGTTCAAGGTCAGCCTGGGCTAAGACTGAGATCAGGACCAGCCTAGACTACACAACAAGACCCTGTCTCAAAAACAAAACAAACAAACAAAAAAACTTGGTGCTCGATACTTTCAGGAACATGAATAGTGTAAGCTGAGATTTGGCTCCCCTGAAGATGGTTTCTCAATTATCTTATGAGACATACTGAGAGTTAAAGTCACTCCAGGAGGAATGGGAATACAGGTTAACAGAGGTCCACCTGACTTACCTTTGAAAACTACTGACTGAACCCCTGCTGCAGTATCCACTAACCTATTCCCACTCTATTTTACACTTACAAATCCACACAGACAGTTCACAAAATACAAGGATTATTCAGTACCTTTAAAATAAATAACATGTATAAAACCTAATCATTCATATAATTTTATTTTTTCGCTTCAACCATAATAATATGATATCCAAATTTTGTCTTAATTGGTGGGTCTGTAAACACAGGCTTATCCATTCCACTCACAGGCAAGGCAAATGCTGCTTCTTGAAATGGTCCTACCATGGACCCTCTGGTCATCCAACCCAAGTCACCCTGAAAAACCAAAAAGATATGTGATATAAAGTGGCCCTGAAAAGGGAAGAGTTCTACTATAGCTTGAGAGAATGTCCCACCATGAACACTGAGGTTACTGGGTGTATTCATCTGGCTAAGCAGGAATTGGCTAGGACAAAATGTGTGGAAGAAGTGTAACCCTGAACTGATTAGCACTCCCCATGCTGCTGGACTTGAACTTAGCTGTAGAAGTTTGGTCACACCTTGATTTAGACATAGATAACTTATTCAACTATTTACAAGCTGGACATTTGTTTTTATTTATAAGCAGGTACAGAAGTTATGGGAAGATTTATTTATAAATACAAGAAATGTAATAAATACATGAAATGAAAAGTACTTACATGGTCTTTTACAAAAACTGAAACAATAAATATGGATTTAATCAAAATTTTAACATAGCCACATTGGAGAGATGGTGGAAGGGAAAGGGGAGAGTATGATATGTTGGAAAATCCTCCTCTATCCTTTTATGAATTGACAGAAATATATGCATTTCATTGCAGAGTAATGGAAAGTAGTTTTTCTGGGAAAAGAATTTGTTATTACAGGCAAAATAGATAGGCACATGCTATGTTCAGTTATAAGCCTTTTAGAGCTACTTTATATTTTATGGAATTTTTTTTTTCTTTTTTGGTTTTTTGAGACAAGTTTTGCTCTATAATTTAGGCTGGCCTTGAATTCAGTATGTGGCCCAACTTGGCCTGGAATTAATGGCATCCTCCAGCCTCAGCTTCCCAAGTGCTGGGATTACAGATATGTGCCACCATGCCTGGTTATTTTATGGATATTTATAACATATATATATCCATACTGGGATAAAGCTAAAAGAAGTAAGATGATGAAGCACCCATATTTAAAGACAACATTGTGCTTGCTTCGGCAGCACATAAAGACAACATCCTTTTGAAAAGTTTACTGACAGCACTATTAATAAACCATTTAATTTTTCAGTTTTTATGAAGTTTTTTTTTTGAAGTTTTTGTTTTAAAGATTAAATTTATTTTCAAAGTACTTATAAACAAATGAGACGTGACTAAAGCATTTACAGTGAAGTTTTCAAATAAATCATTTTAATACCTATCTTTTTATGGGATTACAATAGCATTACTATGGTAGTACTTGTTTTGTTTTTATTACAATTAGTTATTTTCAAGATTGATTATTACTAACAAATCCTGATTTTCAGTATAGGTAGAGTATCCCTTATCCAAAATACTTGGGATCAATCAAGTGTTTGAGGCCAACTTGGGCTACATAGTGAGTTCAAGTCCAGCCTGAACTACACAGTAAGACTCTGTCTCAAAAAACAAAAAAAAAAATCCCAACCAAACAAACAAAAAATCAGGACCAGAAGTATTTTGAATTTTGGAATACGTACATATACATGATATGGTATTTTGGGGATGGAAACTAAATCTAAGCATGAAATTCATTTGTTTCATATATACCTTATGTATATAACCTGAAGGCAATTTGATACAGTATTTTTCATAATGTGCATGAATCACAGTTGCATGGTGTGGAATTTTCCACTCAAGGCATCATGTTGGTACTCAAAGTTTTGGATTTTAGAGCATTTTGGATTTTTGGATTAGAGATGTTAAGTCTTTACTGTGCCAAGGCAAGGCAAAAATAAGACTTTTTTTTTGTACTTGGAATTAAACCCGGAGCTTTCACACTGAGCTACATCCTCAATGTAACTTTTCTAAAAAAACCTTTTTTTTTTTTTTTGAGACAGGGTCTAGCTAAATTGCTAAGTTTCCCAGGCTGGGCTTGAATTTGCAGTTGTCCTGCCTCAGCCTCCCACAGCGCGAGGATTATAAGAGTGTATCACCGCACCCAGCTCAAAACACGATTAATTTAAAAAATTATTTTTCATCTTCTATGGAATATTTTACGGTTAAAAAACTGTTTGGCATTAAGTGTTTATGCAAATAATTTGTACTGCCGATCTTTTTTATTTTACTGATATTTACATTATACAACTCTAATCACTAAATTCTTCATCACTGAAGTATGTGTTCTTTATCCTCGGGTGCCTCGAATTATCTGAGGTCGAGGGCCCCTGCATTGTGTTTCCATTTGTTCTGTTCTTCAATTTTGGCTTGCTGGGATGTGATGCCTTGACTGAGACTGTCAACAGCAAGGTCTTTCTGCTTCATCTTTACTGTCTCCTACTTCCTCAATTTCTTCTGCTTCGGTGATTTTCCTTTTTTTCTTTCTTCTTTGGAGGCTCAGGTTCTCCAAGCATATTTTTTGGACAGGCATAACTAAAGTGTCCACTGTTCCCACTTTTGTAACACTTAGATTTATCAAAGTAGTTTTGTCCTCAGATAAATTCAACTGCTCTTCCATTGTCAATAGTAGTGCTTGCCTTTATTACTCTACCAAATAACTTGTTTATGGCTCTGGTGAAGTTTTGTGCAGTCTTTATCCAAAAATTAATATAAATCCAACCCCTTTACTCTTCCTCATATCTTTGTCTTTCATTTTAGTAACCTTCACAACTTTGCCATACTTGGAAAATATCCAGTATAAGTCATTGTTCGTCAGGGAGAAGGGCAAGTTGGACACATACATTGTGCTCTTACTTGGAGCCAAACCACCACTCATTTCTTCAGGCAGGGTAGGTTCTGGTGCAGCTGGGGCTCAACCCCAACTTTTCCTCACCCCTGGTATCGGCCTCAGCATCCCCCTCCTAGGCGGGTCAGTGCAGAGGCCAGGTGGTTGCAGCCTGGACATTTCTTTTCTTTTATTCGTTTTTTTTGGGGGGGTGGGGGGGACTCAGGATGAAACCCAAAGCCTCGCACGTGCTAGGCTCTACTACTGAGCTATATCCCTAGCCACAAATTGGACATTTCTACTTTGAAGATTGGGGGGGGCAAGTTGAGACAAGGTCTTGCTATGCAGTTTAGGCTGGCCTTAAAAATCACTAGTGGTTCTGCCGCCTGCCTCGAAAGCACAAGGTCCCGAGTTCAATCCCAGGTACCAAAATCAATCAATGAATCAATCAGTCAATCACTATTTAGCCCACACTGGCCTCAAACTCACAGCAATACTCCTGCCTCAACCTCCCAAGTGCTGGATTTACAGGTGTGTGCCACCCATGCCTTGCTGAGATTTTTTTTTTTTTTGTAGTACTGAGGTTTGAATTCAGGACCTTTGCCCTCAGCTACATCCCCAGCCCTTTTTATTTTTTTTCATTTTGAGATAGGGACTTGTTAAGTCACAAAGTTGCCCAGGCTGCGCTCAAACTTGCAACCCTCCTGCCTCTGCTTCCTAAAATGCTTTTAAGATCTTTAAAACAAGACTTAGCTAAAATTAGTGGCAGAACATAGAACTAATTGTTGCTTTTGTGTTTCCTCTGTGGAGGGCAGAAAAATTGAAATGATAAGACAACATACCCCTTGCCTGGCTTTATCTTCACTATACTGTGTGGCCACTTCATTGAATCGCATTCCAGACTTTAATTTTTCCATGGCTTCCATAATTTTGCCGTGTTTTTCACACAGAATATGTCGGACCTACAAAGAAAAAGCATATATCCATGTAATACCTGGAGATTCAAATGATTCTTCTCAGTATACTAGTCAATTCAAATTAAGCTCACAAGTTAAAAAGAAAAAACTTACATTAGCTTGGGACAATTAAAAATCCCACAAATCTGCCCAGTTAGGTGACTGCTACAAACCCATTCCCTGAATCTAGACAATATCTCAGAATCCTGATTTAGCTAGATATGGTGGCACATGCCTGTAATCCCAGCATAGTATATGCGCTGCCAAAGCAAGCACATGTAATCCCAGTATAGTAAGGCCCCAATTTATGAACATTCGAGTCAAGAACCTTCACAGATACTAATGGACCTCTCATCGTGAACATTCGTAGATGCGAAGGAATTGTGTTCACATGCCTGCCAGACATTGTCACAGTTGAGCTACTGTGTGCTTACTGTACAGGGTGATGGTATACAGTATATTTTTGTGTGTGTTTGGTTTTTTATACTTTACATTGTATATTTGTATCAAAGTGAAAAGACTCACTTTGTCAGAATTACAAATGAATCTGACCAGGAACATTTTCCCAGAATGCAACTCGTTCATAAATTGGGGATTTATTATACTCTGCAAGGCTCAGGAGGCAGGAGGACCACAAGTTGTAGCCCAGCCTGGGCAGCTTCGCCTTGTCTCAAAATCAAAACTAAGTGCTGGGGACGTTAGCTCAGTGTGAAGGCCCTATGTTTAATCCCCAGTACTGGGGGTAAAAAAAGAACCTTAATTAAGATGGAAAACAGGCACCTGGCTGTGAGCAGTTCTCATCTCTAACCTTGTAACTCAATGGCAACAGGAAAAGGACACATGATTATGGATGACAGTTTTGGTCCTGGAGTCCAATATCAACTGTGCTTATGACCTGAGGCATGGTTTTAAATCTCCAAATGTTTCCTCATTTGTGTAAAGATTGAGATGATGCAGCTAATAGTCAGTAAATGCTGGCTACTATCTAATCAGAGTTGGGGTATGAAAAAGTCCACTAGAAACTATTTCTTATCCAAAGAAGCCTAATGTATAAAGCCACCATAATTTAACATTTTGTGTGTGTGTGTGGTACTGACAATTGAAATAGGACCTTCATACTGAGCTACATCCCCATCCCTTTTTATAAAAATTTTGAGACAGGGTCTCACAAAATTGCTGAATTGACCAGGCTGCCCTTGAACTTGCCATCTTCCTTCCTGCCTCAGCTTCCCAGATTCCTGGGATTGTAGGCCTACAGCACCACACCCAGCCAATTCAACACTTTACAAAAGTATCACATGCTAGGTGTGGTGGCATACAACTGTAATTTCAGCACTCAGAGAGGCTAAGGCAGAAGTATCAAGTTCAAGCCCAGCCTGGGTAATTTAGAGATTTAGTGAAACCCTGTCTCAAGATAAAAGGTTTTTATAGAAAAAAGAAAAAAGCATCAAATGTTGAATATTAAGAGTACTCAACACTATAGTATTCACTATGACCTTGTTTACATAAAACCATAGTTTAAAAAAACTCTATACATTTAAAAATAATTTTGTCATACTATCTGTTTTAGAGGGCTTTCCAGTTTTCATTCAAACACAATCAGTTATTTGTGTTACACTGTAGGTGATACACTGGGGTAGGCGCTAAAGGTCCGTCCTCATACTTTAGAGACAAACAAATGGAGGATGCCCTTGGGATTACTGAAATGGAGGGTAGGATGGGGATGGAGATTGTCCTTGGCCCACAGGAACAACTTCCTGACTAGTGGAGATAGGAACACATCAAAGGAAAGATGGTTCACAGAGTCAAACTCCTATGGAATGTGTTCAGTTCTGCCTGAGGGAGACAGCAAACAATCTGGACAGCAGAGTGACAGCTTATTGGGGGACAAGAATGGCTCATCAGACCTCATCTTGGCCTGGCTGAAGCTCCTAGACTGCTCCTCTTTGCTTTCACACTCACAAAGCAGCCTCCTTCCATCTCAGTAGGAATGTGCACACAGCACTCAGGACCACAGAAAGGGGCCACGACCTGCCATCTTAGCAATGAAGAAACAGGTATTCTGATTTGAACAGTGTGACCCAGTAAGTTTACAGTACCTGTGGGGTTTGTAAGGATCATAGCCAACTGCCAACTGTGTCTTAGAGAGAGCCAAGCTACAGCTAAGTTCAGGAGTGATAAGCACAGAGGAGGTAGCTGAAGCTGTGAGAGGTAGGGGTGGTTACTCTTGAGAGACTGTGCAGAATAAGAGGAGGAGGAAAGAAAACTTATGACAACCTTGAAGAATATCAATGTTTAAGCAACACCCTCCCCCCAAAAAAGCTCAAAAAGCATAACAAAAAAGAAATGCCAAATAGGAGAGAAAAGTGTATTAGAAATCAAAGCAGGAAAAAAAATGAGGCTGCGGATATAGCTCAGTGGTACAGCTTGCCTAGCATGCACATGGCCTTGGTTTCTGTCCCCAGTACCACAAAAACAAACACACAAAGCAGGAGAAAGTTTCAAGGAAGAAATAGAAATAGTTAAGAGGGTTAAGTGCTGCAGAGATATCAACTAAGAAGCACAAAACATTTAACAACAACTGGTACAGGGATTTTTTTTTTTTTGGTACTGGGGATTGAACTGAGGTCCTTGCACTCGCCAAGCAGGTGCTGTGCCACTGAGCTAACTCCCTGGCACAGGGATTTAACTCAGTGGTAGAGCCCTTGTCTAGCAGGCAAGAGGCCCTGGGTTCAAATTTCAGCATTGCAGCCGGGTGTGGTGGCACACACCTGCAATACTAGCACTCAGGAGGCTTAAGGCAGGAGGAATATGGTGTATTCAAGGACAGCCTGGGCTACAGTTAGTTCAAGACCAGTCTGAACTATTCAGCAAGCCTATCTCAAAACAAACAAAATCTCAGCATTGTAAAAAAAAAAAGTTAGCAATGACTAACTGGTTAATAAAAGGAGTTTCAGAAGTGCAGAAGCTAGCTAGCTGGGTGGCACATAATCCTAATACTCTGGGAGGCTGAGGCAGGAGGACTGAAAGTTCTAGCCCAGGTTGAGCAACTTAGTGACACCCTGTCTCAAAATAAAAAATAAGGAAAGGGCTGGGGATATAGCTCAGGGTAAAGGTCCTGAGCTCAATTCCCAATGTCCAAAAAAAAGAGTAGGAGCCCAGACACAGTAGGCTGATTAAGGAAGCAACAGGAAGTGGAAAGGTAAAGTACAACATGGGGCACTCAGCCAACCAGTTTACCTTAAAAAAGGAGGAGTGTGGTGGTGCATGCCTGAAATCCCAGCACTTGGGAGGCCAAGGCAGGAAGATTGAAGCAAGTTCAAGGCCCACTTGGGCAAAACAGTCAGCTCAGGCCAGCATGTACTACAAAGTGAGATCCTGTCTCAAAAAGACCAAAAAACAAGAAAGAAGAAGCATACACTTTAAAGATTCTGGAGCATATTTTCAGAATGAAGGGGAAGATCTAGTAAAAGAGGGAATGCAAGAAGACAGAGCAAAAAAGGAGGATGCAAATAAATGAAAGAGCAAGGCCTGGTATTTGGAATACTGAAAAATTAGCTTTAAAGGAAGAAAGCTGAGGAGAGAGTAAGGAGGTAGGAGTGAAGATAACTGTTGATGGAGGCCAGAAAGCCAGAGTTCCTGACTCCTTGTGAAGATTTTTTAAAAAGAAATTTGAGACAGGATCTCACTAAGTTGCCCAGGCTGGGCTTGAACTTATGATCTTCTTGCCTCAGTCTTCCAGAGTGCTGGGATTACAAGTGTATGCCACCAGTCCCGGGCTAAAATATTCATTAAGATATTATTAAGTGGTTAATAAGTTATTAAATTTGATAAACCAATTACTCAATTAAAGACTAAGTAATTTAATTATAAAAATATTCTGAGAGGACAGGCGTGATGGTGCACACCTGTAATCCCAGCACTCAGGAGCCTGAGGCAGGATGATCTTGAGTGCCAGGCCAGCTTGGAACAGAGTTCCAGGTCAACCTGGGCTACACAAGGAGACCCTATCTGAAAGAAAATGTTGTGAAAGTAATAAAAATATTTAAAAGTTATCAGATAGTATTTGATAAGCACTGTGCTAAGTGCTTTATATGAATTATCTCATTAAATCATACCAACCTCAGGAGACTAGATCAGTCTTTTCCAACACTGGCAACACATCTGAATCATCTCCAGAGTTTGTTTTTTTTTTAAGCAAAACATTTATTGGCACATTTTACACACACACACAATGACAGCATTCATCATAGGAAACCTGCACCTGCACATGACATATTCCAGAGTTTCTAAAAAAGATACCAAGGTCCAAGCGGGTCATGGTGGCACACACCTGTAATCCCAGCACTTGGAAGGCTGAGGCATGAGGATCATTGAGTTCAAGGTATGCTGGGCTACAAAGTGGGTTCAAAGCCAACCTGAACTATACAGCGAGAGCCTGTCTCAAAAGAACCCCCCCCCCCGCCAAAAAAAAAATCAAGATTCAGACCCCACTTCCAGAGATTCTGATGCAGTTGATCTAGGGCAGTGGTGGCAACCTATGATACACCTGCTGCAGAAGGCTATTTGTATCACTGAAAGCTCTAAAAGGTTCACCATCACTGATAGGGTAAGCCTCAACATCAGTAAGTTTTAGAAGCTCTCCATGTGAATCTGATGATTTCAACCCCAAACAGCCAGCCAAGTCATCTGCTGACTGACCAGAACAGGGTGGTGGACGGCTTGAAGCAAGGGGTAAAGGAATGCTAAGCAGGGCTGATGGCCAAGCTGAGGTTAGAGGCCAGATATTAGTATCCCCGACCCCCAATGCTATGGGAGTCTCCAGTAGGGCCCAGCAGTCTTGGGTTTCAGGGCTAAGAAAGCAGACTACTGGACTGATCCTGAGTTGTAGTCTGGCAGGTGGAGGCAGCAAGATGACCAAAAGAAAAGGGAGTTGGGGGACCTCAACCCAACGATGAGGGCTTAGAGCTAATTTCCAATTCACAGGAAATACAGAGAATAGAACAAACATGAAGGCTGGGAGAAGGTGGGGAGAGCCGGGCAGGCTCGAGAGTCTGGAGTCTGTGAGAAGAACAGAACAGGAAGAGAAAGGAAGGAAACTGTGGCTAGTAAATGGGTCTCAGGATCTGCACAGCTTATGGTGACACAAGAGCAGGATGTGAGCATATAAGTGGGGTCTGAAACAATGACAGGATACGGAAGGAGCAGACATCCTAAAGGCTGGATGATCCTGGGATCCCTCCCTTGCTGGGGCCTTTGAAAGCACTAGCAATAACCCAGGTGTCCTTCAACAGGTAAATGGTTTAACATACAATGGCACTGCTGCACCATGGAACACCATGAAGCAGTACAAAGGAACAACTATCGATACAACTTGAATGAAATCTCTACAGAATTACACTGTGTGGAAAAACCAATCCCCAAAGGTTATGTACTATATAATTTTATTCATTTAATATTCTTAAAATTATAAAATTATACAAATGGAGAAGAGATTAGTTGCTGCCATGGGTTAAGAAGAGTGTAGAGGGCAGGAGGGCAGTGGGGCTACTTACAAAAGGGCAACAGAAAGGTTCTGTATCTTTTTTTAACATTTTTTTTCCTTTTAGATTTTTGAGACATGGTCTCACTAAGTAGCACAGGCTGGCCTCGAACTTGCAATCCTACCTCAAGCTCTCAAGTACTAGGATTGCAGGCTCTGTTCTATATTTCGACTGTATCGATGTCAACATCCTAACTGCGCTATTGGACTACAGTTCTGTAAGATGTTACCATTAAGGGAAACAAGGTAGAAAGTACTTGTACTATTTCTCACAACTGCATGTGCATCTATGATTATCTCAAAACAACAACAACTCAATAAAAATCTGAACCCTAATCTACTCTCTCCACTAATTATATGCCACTCCTTTCCACATAACTTATGGCTAGCCACACTGGACTTAATTTTTCCAGAGAGGATAAAATGCCTCTTTAAAGCTATATGCAGTGAAACAGTCTCTTACATTAGGTGCTTATAAAGTTAGCACATTAGGTGAAATTTGTCTATATCCAAAATGACCCTAGAACAGTGGTGGTGAACCTATGGCACTCGGGCCACAGCTGGCTGTTTGTTATCACTGAAAGCTCCAAAAGGTTCTGTCACTGTCCTAGAACATCGCTTAGGAAGATGTTATATTGGAGACCAACATGTCAGCTCTAATTAAGCCCAACATAGCCACCCCCTCCCCATTCTGGACTGTAACAATGACCACTTCTTCAGTTGAATATGAAATGAAGTAGCTGGTTGGATTTGGGGGCCATATTTTATGAAAATTTACCTTTGAATACCATAATCTCACTTTACAAGGTTGGATGCTAATACAAGAACAGAGGACAACTTCAGAAAAGCAGGTTTATGTCACTCATCTCTCTCAGGCATAGGTGCACTGAGTAGAAAGAAGGGTAGAATGGCTTGCCCCCCAATCCTCCACACGTGTATGGTTGAATTTATATGATGAAATTCTATTTCTACCCTTCTCATGCAGCAGTGAAAGTAATTTCTTTGCCTAACTGCTTCCATCTAGACTGTAATAACAGGGTTTCTCCCCTACTTTCTCTCTCTCTCTCTCACCCTCAGAGCCTAATACACTGCATGGTGCAGGGCAGATGTCACTAAATCCTTACTAAATGAATAAATCAAAGTACAGGTTCCCACATCCTAATTAAAACACAGAAATTGCCTTGCTACATAGCACTAAGTAGTATAGTTCTGTTTGCAGGTTAACTTTTCCATGGCAGACACTCTGGGCCTAGATTAAGTACTTCAGGTAATTACAGTATTTATTGATTGTCTCCTGCCTTGTTTTTACAGTCAAGGCCCTGGCTTGTAGCTCATCAGTGGAGGAGCTTCCTAGTGAGACCTGTACCTTTGCATGTTTAGCAGAGGAGCCTTTTAACACTTATCTACGCTCTTGATTTCATAAAACACTATCTTAAGAATAACTCACTGGGAAGAGCTAACAATACATTTTAAGGAACAGCACTAAAAGTGTGAAGAAATTCTAGTAGTGTCAGAAAAAGCATTTGAGAAAATATTTAAAATTACTTTTCATAAGTGAGACTGGTTATTTTCCAATTCTGTGTCACTTTGGCTTTACATCAGTGTTAGGTTAGTGTCTTAGAATAAGTTAAGCATATGATCTTTTATGTGTACATACATACATACATCTATGTGTGTGATTTATATTTAACATGGAAAAAAGGAACTAGTGAATTAACTCACCTTTACTGCATTGCCACCACCTTTGGGGCCCTGAGCCTTCTTGTCAGCACTACCACTCCCAGAGGCTGCTCCCCCTTTAGAGAAGAGGTAACAAGTAGTCAGGAATATTTACAGCACCTTGATATCTTGGTGTCTACAGCCTAAGTTGATATGTGTCATAGCATCAAGCTTCAAAAGGGATCTCTGCCAGATACTTCACCTACAGCAAGCTAAATGAATCTGTGACTCATCTCTTGAAACAGGAAATGTGTGTCCCATGTAAACACTTCATGGAAAACGGATCCATAGATGAGTGTGCTAAAGGATGAGTCAGAGCTCCAGAAGCTGGGCTAGATTTTTCTGGGCCCAATTTCAAATCGTGCCTTCTAAGGACAAACCCCTAAGCTCTTGTAAGACTTCTAATATGTATTACAACCATGGATTTGAGCAGTCACAAGTGCAATAAGTAAAATCTCTAAGAATATATGTTAAACATATTTGGCTAAAGAATATAATCATTTCCAAATTCCCAGAGTCTACTACATTGCCTATTGAAGTCTTTTTAAGAAAAGACATTGGTTAGGGCCGGGGATTTAGCTCAGTGGTTTCACCGCCTGCTGCGCAAGCCCAAGGACCCGAGTTTGATCCCCGGTACCAAAAAAAAAAAAAAAGAAAAGGCATTGGTACTTGGATTAATAACTGTTGGTGGCATCTTCCATTTTGCTCCCATGTCATTTTACTCCTGTTAACTTCTATGTAGGAAGCAGCATACTGTTAAACAGGCTGATGCTCCTAAGAACTATAGCCTGGTTAAGTGTTTCAGAGTAAGTACTAAGCTCCAGGCATTGTGAGTACAAAGAAACAAGGAACAAGCCTTGGGAACTCATATTCTAGGGAGGAAAACAGATCACTTCTGGAGAATGCGGCAGGTGCAGAGAAGGTTAAGCACAGAGGGCTATGGACACACAGAGGGACATTTTAACCAGCCAGGCAAGGTTTTCTGGCTAAGGAGGAGCTGGCTAAAGACAAGACATTCCAAAATGAGAGAAATAGCATGAGTCGAAAATTGTATGATGAAGCCAATTTTGGGGTGAAAGAACCAACAGATGAACCTGCTAGGGAAGGGAGCTGAGGGTCAGGACATAAGAGCTTTGGATCCCCAAACTTGGGTTTTTTGTTTTTGCTTTTATAGTGCTGAGGAATAAACCCAGGACCTCACATGTTTGGCAAGCATTTTATCACTGAACTATACTCCTAGCCTGAAACTTGGAATTTATCCTAGGATTAATAGGAAGCCAGGGAAAAGTTTTAGGAAGGAGACTCCATTTTACTTGTCTTAGTACAGGTTAAGTATCCCTAATCTGAAAATCTGAAATCCATTTTGGATTTTCAGATTAGACACACTCAACTGGTAAAGTCTACACAAATATTCCAAAATTCATACAACTCTCAAATCTGAAACACTTCTGGTCCCAAGCATTTTGGATAAGGGATATTCAATCTATAACTCCAACGCCTAGAACAGTGCCCAACACAAAACAGGTGTGCAATAAATGTTCAACAGAAAACCCAAAACACTGACTACTAAAACTCTAAGAAAACATTACTACCAAGAGTTTTATTAAGCCAACCTATTAGCTGGGTTTGCTATACATACACTTAATTTTTCAATAAGGAGGATTGAACCTAAGACTTCCAGCACATTACTCAAGTGCTCTACCAGTGAGCTACATCCCCAACCCTTTTTATTTTTTGAGACAGGGTCTTGCCAAGTTGCCCAGGCTAGCTTTGAATTTATAATCTTCTTGCCTCAATCTCCTGAGTAGCTGGGATTAGGGATGTGTACCACCGTGCCCAGCTGTATTCACTCTTGAAGGCTGATTCTTTACAGTTATTCCATCTTCTCCCCTCCTAGTCAGTCTTCTAATTTCTACCTCACTCTCTGTGATTTACTCAGGGATCTGGGTATCTACTTTAGGCTTTCTCTCCACCCTCTCTCCTGACATCATCTTGGGTGACCCTACCATCTAAATTCAGGAATCTCATCCAACAACTTAACTCGTTTGGATCTTCCTCCCAAATGCCCATGTTCTCTACTGCAGGCCTCCTGCTTCAGGGGCACATGATGGAACTGTGTCACTCAGAACTAGTGGTTCAGCCTCTGCCTACAACCTGTTCTTCCAGCTTTCTCATACCTCATTCCCACAAAACTGGTTCTTTGACTTCATAGAATACCACTGCCACCACTAAGTCCTCTTATCCTGCCAAGTTCCCAGACTCCTCCTGTCCTTCCCAGTCTAGACCATGCTTGCACATCTGCATTCCCACTGGTACCCTTAATTTCTTTGTGTTGCTATCCTATTATAATTGCCCAACAAAACCCCAACCTTTGCTCTAGCTACACCTGGCTCTTTTCAATTCTATACTGTGCCAGCTGCAAGACACTAGGTAAATTATGACTGTGTAGACTGTCTTCTACAAATTAATGGCCTTCAATCTGTCAGGATGCTAGCCATGAGGGCAATCCCTTTATTTGTGTTTCATTCCTTCTCCCATTACTTTATTTCAAATCTTTACCACTCTCCTCAAGATCCCTACTAAGTCCCTGCCTCCTCAGTCTTTTAAAAAAATAAACTTGCCTTCATTTCACTAAAAAATTGGGGTCAATAAGCATAATCTCCCTAACTTCCCCCATTCCTCCTTCCTGGCTCCAATACTTACAATCAAGCGCACCTTGTCTCTTTCCCTATAAAAAAACATAAAGTGTCCCATATATTCAAAAGTCAGATGCTCCACCTTACTCCTACACTCCATTTTCTCCAAAATCCCACTCTTCCATACCTTTGCCTCTCTTATTCTATTGGATCCTTTACCTCAGCCACACTTTCAAGTTTTCCTGTTCTGAAAAAACAAACAAAAATGTTCTAATCCTTCACTGTCTTCTATCTACCATCCCATTACAACTTTCCAGAAGTCCACACCCACTGTCTCCAACTTAGCACTTTCCAATCAGTCCTCTAGTCACTACAATCTGGCTGCCTGAGACTTTTGCCTAAGGCCACCTCAAATTTTTAAACCTAAACAGTATTGTTTTCAGTCCTCAATTTGGTTGTTCTGCTATGCTTGATAGTTCTTTAAAACTTTCTGATTTCAGAGCCAGGTGTGGTGGCACACATCTGTAATCCCAGCACTCTGGAGGCTGAGGCAGGAGGATCGCCTCGACTTCGAGGACAGCCTGGGCTACACAGTGAGTTCAGGGCCAGCCTGAACTACAAAGGGGGAGCCTGCCTCAAGAAACAAAACAAAACAACAAAAAAAAACCTTTCTGATTTTATTCTACTGCACTCCTTTTATCTTCCTTTCCTCCAGGTTCCACATTATTACTTTAGTTCAGGCCACCACCTTCTCTCACCAGGACTACTGCAACAATCTCTTTGCAGGTCTTTCTGACCCATAAGCAAACTTCTTAGCATCATATATAACACTGTGCATGGTTTGGTCTGTTTTTGTTTTGGGTTCTTGTTCCAGCAACAATATACTGCACAAATCATGTCGTTTTTCATCCCAGTGCTTTTGCTGTTGTATCCTGTCTGGAATTCTTTGCTCCACCTGCACTGCCCATCTTGCCATACAAAACTCGTCTCTTGTCTTCCCTTCCCATTTCCCCGGCTAGATGAAGCACTTCTTCGGTTTCCATAATATCTCAGCACTGTATTTAATACAATACTTTATGGTTTACTATGCTTCTATCTTCCCCACTACTTCAGGGGCTCCAAGTTGTGTCTTTACAGCTCTAATAACCCCTAGAAATGGCAGCCCCACCCACGTCATCGCCTCTGAAAAATGACCCTTAGCAGCTTGTACTACCCATCAGGACAGACCCTGCACCGTACCCCAATGTGTTCCCACAACTCCAGGTAGCACTTGTTCTTTCTAAATCTCACCGGAGGAGCTCTAGACGTTAATGGATGACAGCCCGGTAGGCCACTGGCCACCTGCTGCCTCCGTCTAGGACCCTGAGAGTCGCCAGTCTGGTCCTTCCCTTCTCTTCACCCACCCCCATTGTCCCTGATTGTTTCGGTAGCTCTACCTTTTCCCCCCTTTCCAGAGCCACTTTTTTCCTTGGGCGGCATCTTCGAAATTTGCAGTTGAACGTTCAACTACAGTTCAGGTAGCCGTAAAAAAAGCCCCTTCAGGACCCACGAGGACGTCCTGAACAATGCCTGAAAGCAGCATTGCAACAGAGCTTTCTTACCGCGGCTCCGAAGCAGGCACAGCTTGGGGCAGACCCAGTTCATTATAGCTCTTGGACCAATGGGGTTGAAGATGTTTGACCAATGAGAAGCTGGAGAGCGGGTCGAGGCGCGGAGAGAAGGGAGGGGTTTGGGAGGGAAAGCCCGCCTCTGCGCTTTTTAATTTAGGTTTTGTTGTGGCTGTTTTTTGAGACAGGGTCTTACTATGTAGTTCAGGCTATCCCTGAACTCACTGTGTAACCCAGGCTGCCCTCGAACTCGCGGTGATCCTCCTGCCTCATCCTCCTAAGTGCTGAGATCACAGGCCTGCGCCACCACTACCTCTGCGCTCATTACCTTACTTGGGCCAGCTCCCTCGCTCCCTTTGCTCCCCTGCCCACTTCCTTCCCGCGTGCGCAGTGAGAGCGCTGGGCCTCTGCAGTCCCTGGGCGCCTGTTGTAGCCAATCCCGGGGACCGCCAGACAAAGGGAAAGTAAGAGACGTGGACGCGGACCCCCGCCCCCTTGCCTTCCCGTCTTACACAAGTCTCCCCTCCACGGCTGTTTTTCGTTTTTAAATTTTATATTGCAGCTGTAGCTAGTTGAGTTCAAAAGATAATTAAAAAAAAAAGTATCACCTCTCTTCCTTTTGTAGAACTTCGTCAAGGAGATACATTGGAAGCAGTCTAAATGCTCTTCGGTGGGGTAGCAGAGTAGTGCCTGGGTTCACGAACTCAATTCTCTCCACGATTCTGGTCGCAAACCCAACTGGACGAGAACCGAATCAAATTTCCCCATAAGGTCAGCATTGACCCTAACCATTAAATTTGATTAGGTTTTCATCCAACTCGATTTGGGACCAGAATCGTGGAATCAAGTTAGTGAATCGAGGTACCATTGTACTTATGTAGTGATCTTAAAACAATTTAAGATTTTGAACCATTTTGGGTCTAGGCTACTGCCTGATTCTACAATCATAATGCCAATTAAGATCTGCAAAAATAATAATAAATACTGTAGAATGACTATTGCAAGCCTATGTGTACAGATAGGGGAATAGCCTTAAGGAAGGTTACATATCAATATAGAATATAATTCCTTTTTTATTTATTTTATTTATTTATTTATTGGTACTGGGGATCGAACTCGGGACCTTGTGCTTGCAAGGCAGGCAGTGGAACCACTGAGCTAAATCCCCAGCTATAATTCCTTTTTAAAAAGTATATATTCTGTACTGTATATTTCTGTCCATCCAAAGGACAGACAGAAAGCTGGGCATGGTGGCACACTCCTGTAATCTCAGCATTCAGAGGCTGAGACGAGGATTGCAAGTTCGAGTCCAGCCTGAACAACCTGATGATGTAGCAAGACCCTGTCTCCAAATAAAAAAGTGTTGGGATGTAGCTCAGTTCAAAAGCCCTGGATTCAACCCTCAGTACCATAAAAAAATAAATAAAGCTAGGAGGGCTGGTGCATGTCTGTAATCCACACTGGAAGGCTGGGGGCAGGAGGATTGCAAGTTCGAGCCCAGCAAGGACAATTTAGTGACTTTTTGAGACCCTGTCTCAAAATAAAATTCAAAAAGGGCTGGGCATGGTGGCACATGCCTGTAATACCAGCACTTGGGAGGCTAAGGCAGGAGAATCACTGCAAGTTCAAGGGCAGCCTGGGCTACATAGTGAGTTCAAGACCAGCCTGAACTACATAGTGAGACCCTGTCTCAAAACAAAAACAAACAAATAAATAAATGGCTGGGGATATAGCTCAGTTGGAAGGCCTTGGGTTCAATCCCCAGTACTACACACACAATGTATAGATTCTGGAACCAGATTGCCCGGTTTCAAATTCTTCATCATCTGTCTGTTGGCTCTGTGACCTGGAAGAGGTCACTTCACCTCTCTTTGGTTCAGTGTCATCACCTGTGAAATGAAGTTAATGAGAATAGTACCTGTATTGCATTAAGAGAATTAAAAAAGATCCTGTTTGTAAAATACATAAGACAGTGTCTAGCTCATAGTTAGCATTAACTTGAGTGAGGTTTGAATTTGTGCCTCCACATTTTTTTCTCCCCTTACTCAAACCCTCCCTCCTCCACCAGTAATTTGTATATAATGTCTGTTTTTCCTCTGTTTCATTAGACAGCTGTCCTGGCTTGCCACTGCCAGCCAAAATACATAGTTCTACCAGCTTGGAGTTTAGGGTTTGTCTTCCTTTGGTGCTGAGGATGGAACCCAGAGCTCCAGGCATATCCAGCAAGCAGCTCTACTATTGAGCCACACTCTCAACTCCTTTTGCTTTTTTTTTTCTCCTGATACTGGCAGTTGAACCCAGTTGCATTCTACCACATTCTATCATTCTACTCAGCCTCTTTTCACTTTTTATTTGAAACAGAGTTTAGGTTTTGAATATAATCTATTTTGAACCGGGGTTGCTTCATGCCCAAACCAGAGAGGCACATATTTTCGAGGCTGCACCCAACCCCAAATCAAATACAAAAGGAGTCCTTTATGTTGCACCACTGTGATTTCTGAACACACCTTGGGCACTTTTTGTTTTGGATTGGCAATGATTAGCTGTGGAGAATGCACTCAGTGCCAAGGCAATCTTTGTTCCTCCATGTTTGAAGTGAATCCTGCTCCTCTACTGACTTTCCAGGCCCCGACCTGGTTTAGGGACTAAAAAATGATAGTGTGGCCTCATGTTCATGGCCAGGAGCCCCGGGAGGTTCCTTTATTTATTTATTTATTTATTAATTATTTTTGGTACCGGGGATTGAACTTGGGTCCTTGTGCTTGCACAGCAGGCAGCCAAACCACAGAGCTAAATCCCCAGCCCCCTAGGAGGCTCCTTTACTGTGGCTTGTCATTGAGAAGAGCCTTTCCTGTGACCAGCAGCTATAGCAGTCATGGAGTAGAAATGAAAAAAAAAAACAAAAAACAGATTTTAGAGCCCAATCAATAGTTAACACGAATGGCTGATGTACCTCAAACATACTTAGTGCCTGAAGCATTGTGAAAGCTCCATGCATTTCAGCAGATAATAACAGCAGGAATGCTAATAAGCAAGCCTGTGTACATAGCTAACTGTGTTCAAAGCAGTGCCTAAAGGCCAGCAGCTCCAAGGAGAAAAAGATGGATGTAAGTCTGCTGGAGGCTCAAGGTCAGAAGCATTTTAAGACAGATACAAAATCATGTATGATCTCAACTATGCAGTATGCATCACAGAAAGATAGAATGGGAAATACAAAATTTTCAGTGTTCTAGAATATGAATTTATGTCTAACATCCATTTTCTTCTGTTTATATCATTTTCTGTTGCTTGGCATTTTTTAATTATTTAAGCAAAAAGGCAATAAATATTATTTGAGAAATGAACAACAAAAAAAGCCAGCTCCTCTACAGGGTTAATTCTGCACCAGTCTGCAGAGGCAGACTGTGGGGGTGTTTGAAGCAGAGTGACAAATTAGCTGAAGAGAGGGCAAGAGGAGCAGAGAGGAGGAAGATTCAGCCTTGAAACCATGGCAACATCTGCTGGAGTGTGCAAGTGACTCAGAGCCAGTAATGACTGCCAATTGTGTTTTCTACTAATTATCTTCTCAGACTGAGGCTTCTACACATTACATAAACAAGGATAATCAGGAAGGGAAGCTGGCAGCTCTCTTCTCAGTACAGAGGTTCACAAACCTTGGCCCAGACTCATCGCCCCACTCCCACTGCTCCAAAACCAAAGGGCTATGGTTTCTATCTGAGACAGCAGCAGAGCTTATTCTGAAAGGGAAATTTGAAGCAACAAAATGCAGACACCTGGTTGATCCCATTCACAGGTGGTCATAGGGAACTCTGGGGCCCAGACTCAGGGGACAAGGACAGAAAAAAGTCACTGCTGGAAATTGAAACATGAAAAAAAAATCAGAAAATGGTGGATGAGATCAGCCACCTGTAAAAGTAACTACCCACCACAGTAAATGGATGCACATTTATTGCTGATAGGACTGATGTGTCTCCCTAAGTACAGTCAGTGGCCAAAGAATTTTCTAACCCACTTCATGCTGTTGTAAAAGGTTGGGCATGAGGTAACGAGGCTTTGAGTGACTGATCAAAAAGATTCAGAGAAGACTCCATCCACATTATTCCAGCACTGAATAAGCAAAAAACACAAAACAAAACAAAAACCACTACAGTTTCTGGTGATCTATTCCAGATCTAGTGGGGTGGATTTTTTTCAGAGACAGTGTTCATTTGAGACTGTGGAAAACAGTGAACACACAAGGCTTGTATACTATGAGCAAAGAGGTTTCCTCCATGATATCTTTTAGGTTTGTGTTGTTTTGCTTTCATTTTCCAGGGTATTGGGGGTTTTTTTGTTTTATGGGATGGAACCAGGGCCTCACATATGCTAAGCAGACACTCAACCACTCACCTACACTCCCAGACAGTTCTCCTTTAGTTTTCACAACAGCCTTATTTGCAAAATATCACAATTATCATTTCAGAGCTGAACAAACAGACTCAGATAAGTCAAGAAATATGCCTAAATTTTCACAGGACCTGTGGCAGGGTTGGGCTCTGAACTCAAATCTGTCTGACTTCTAGGCTGGTAGCCTCTCCAGGATGCTAGACTGCCCACGCTTTGCCATTTCATACATTAAATCCAAGAACATCCAGTTCCCTTTGTTCTGAATGCATGCTTACCAAGTCAGCTACCTAAGGACATGAAGCCTATGGGCGGTGGGGGGCCACTTTGTGCAAGATGCACCAGCATGAGACATAAATAAATTAGCCTTTGGCTTATATGGATCAGTGTGTTGGTTATGAGTAACCTGGAATGTGCCCGCCTCTGCCTGCCGTGCTACAGAAGCACAGAAGTGAGGAGAAGGAACTCGGCATGGGAGAATAGTGGGTACAGCACCATAGCTGAGGCAGACAGGAGGTGGGGAGGAAGAGGTTTTCTACAGCCTCACCTTCTGGAAATATTCTCCATGTCCATGGGATCTGCCTCTTAAGTACCTCTTCTCCTGCCCCATATCACATTTTGTTGT